GACACTATAGTGGAACACGACGAAGATTCTGAGAGTAATGTTAATCCGAGAAGAAGAACTGTTCCTTCACCGCCAATACGCAACGATACTTTCGAAAGAGTTCGAGCAAGATCGGCTCGATTGTCAGGAACAGGCTCATCGTCTGGAAATAACGGACGTCGGTCACGGCGAGTGAATAGTGTTATAAGACGACCATTACGTAGTAGACAAAGTTTGATAGCAAAAATCAAGAGCTTAGAGAGGTCAGTGAATTCATTGAGAAAGACTGTCCGAAAATTATTAAAAAAAGTTGGTCAGGGAAATGACAATGTTACGCAAGAAAGGTATCCTGAGTTAGAGCAGAGAGTTATTGTCGAAGGTGGAAATGAGGTGAGTTCTCTTTCTTTTTTCTTTCTCTATTTTTGTCTTTTTTTTTTTTTTTTTTTTTTCAAATCATTCAATTTAACGGTGGATTTAGTGTTATAATGATTGAATTGCGTCAACATAGTTGTGGCGATTTTCAATGTTTTAAAAATCTTTTTTTATCGAAAACAATTTCCAAAAAAAATAAAATTTCTGATCCTAAAATTAAAAAAAAATATTATTTATCTAAAAATTGACATTTTTTGTAAAATTACTATTTATACCTTTTTTTCGTTTTTCTAAAAGATTTTCATTTATGTTTATGGGTGATTCTCTGTAGAGATGTTTTTTGCTGTCTCAGGCATTTTCTTATTAGAAAAATTGTTATATTGTTACTAAAAAAAATTAATTACAAAAATAAAAAAACATTTCTATTTGGAGTATTGAAAACTAAGATGGAATAAATTTTGGTTTTTTTGCTATAAATTCGTAAACCACCGAAATGTCAGTCCCCTGGGCTGTCCCAGTCCCAAAATTAAAACTTTAAGATTAAATTTTAAGTTATTCGTCAATAATATATAATTTGGTCCATAATGTTTATAAACTTAATTAGTTAACTAACAATCTTCTTCAATAAAAAGTACCGAAAGTTAATATGTTTCATTAAATTCATTAAACCAAAGTTTGTCCCAGGCATTTGAGATCAGTCCCCTGCGAAAAGTTCAAAGCCAAAAAAAAAGTCTAGCGTGTTATTTTACATTTTATTTAGTGTTAAAGTACCGTTTGTGCTGGAAATATGTGTCTGGGCCACTTCAAAACTCAGTCCCCTGCCAGCTACTTTTGTTTATAATTTATTTATAAAATAGGATCCATAAGTCTTAATATTATTCTAATTAATGTAAACATTCATTGAGAACTTGAAAAGTTAAATGAATTGAAATAGTTTGCTTCATTTTTCTCAATTTCATAAAAAAAATCACTCCCCTGGCAGTCAGTCCCCTGTCATGTTATATGGCGAAAGACACAAAAATATCGAAAAACCAAAAATTAATTCTACTGTTTATTTATTATAATTAAGTTGATAGTTTTGTTGCCCTTGTGAATTTTTTTCCTAATAAAATTTAAGACGTCCTTACAGAGAATCACCCTTATAATTCTAAAAAATGAAATTTTCTTCAATGATGAATATTATTTTAAATTATAGTTTGTAGAGATCGAAGGAGTAAAAATTGATGGTGAACAGTACGCCAAGATGTTGCTTCAAAATAGTCTGAGAGGGCGGGCCAATGTGCTAATGCATGATATGTGGCCGGACAATGTTATGAGGCGTATGTATTTAAAAGCACCACCAGGAACTCAAAATTATGAAATTGTGAAATCAACAGACATTCAAAAGATAAAAAGTATGTATAACTTTAATTATTTAATAAGTAATGGGAGCAATACCCAATAGGAACATTATAAATATGTAACAATAATTGATATTAATACAATTAAATAACATAAATTTATTAGATATATCATTATTTAGTCGTATTATAAGTTAAATTCAAATAAAGTTCTCATAAATTAATTTTTTTTGTTTTTTAGATATTTGCTTGTATTTGCAAAGAAAAAAGAAGATTGAGTATATCAGTGGTGGTAAGGACGATGTTTCTATTTATGCACGCAACTGGGCAGGCGACTTGTTTAAAAATTGTCGTAAAAAATTAAACGATCAAAATGTACCACGATAATATGAGTAATAATAAGATAAAGATGCAGAGGTCTAATTCTCATCTACTCATCGGCATCTAGGATTAAAAAAAAATCTCAAAGACTAGTTATAAAGTAAAAGAGTAAACGTTTCGAATTCAAAATAGTTTCAAGAAAAATAGTATTAATATCTAAAAAGTTTTTTCTATTAATATTTAAATAATATTTAGTTAAGATAATGATATTACTTATAATTTTAAAATGTTTATTTGATGATATTAGAATATTTATATACGTCAAAAAAATAGCAATCACTGTTATTGTCGTTAAAATATTACTTATAGACTAAAAAGGCACACTGATAAAAAATTTAACTTGACTCAAGAGCCAAAATCTCGAATCAAGAATACCATTTTGAAGAGATGATTTTTTTGAATCAAGAGAATAAATTCTTAATTCATGAAATTAATCTTGATTTTAGTACATTTTTCTTGTCTCTAGAATTTATTCTCTTGACTCAAAAAAATCATTTTCTTCAAAATGGTATTCTCGGTACAGGGTTTTGGCTCTTGCGTGATAATAATTTTTTTTATAAGTGTTAACTTTACAAGATGAAAATAATTTTTTTTAAATTATTTTGAAATTTACAAAAGTTTTTATTATTAATGTTTAAATAATATTTAGTTAAGATAATGATATTACTTATAATTTTAAAAAGTTTATTTGATGATATTAGAATATTTATATACGTCAAAAAAATAGCAATTACTGTTATTGTCGTTAAAATATTACTTATAGACTAAAAAGGCACACTGATAAAAAATTTAACTTGACTCAAGGGCCAAAATCTCGAATCAAGAATACTATTTTGAAGAGATGATTTTTTTGAATCAAGAGAATAAATTCTTAATTCATGAAATTAATCTTGATTTTAGTACATTTTTCTTGTCTCTAGAATTTATTCTCTTGACTCAAAAAAATCATTTTCTTCAAAATGGTATTCTCGGTACAGGGTTTTGGCTCTTGCGTGATAATAATTTTTTTTATAAGTGTTAACTTTACAAGATGAAAATAATTTTTTTTAAATTATTTTGAAATTTACAAAAGTTTTTATTATTAATGTTTAAATAATATTTAGTTAAGATAATGATATTACTTATAATTTTAAAAAGTTTATTTGATGATATTAGAATATTTATATACGTCAAAAAAATAGCAATTACTGTTATTGTCGTTAAAATATTACTTATAGACTAAAAAGGCACACTGATAAAAAATTTAACTTGACTCAAGGGCCAAAATCTCGAATCAAGAATACTATTTTGAAGAGATGATTTTTTTGAATCAAGAGAATAAATTCTTAATTCATGAAATTAATCTTGATTTTAGTACATTTTTCTTGTCTCTAGAATTTATTCTCTTGACTCAAAAAAATCATTTTCTTCAAAATGGTATTCTCGGTACAGGGTTTTGGCTCTTGCGTGATAATAATTTTTTTTATAAGTGTTAACTTTACAAGATGAAAATAATTTTTTTTAAATTATTTTGAAATTTACAAAAGTTTTTATTATTAATGTTTAAATAATATTTAGTTAAGATAATGATATTACTTATAATTTTAAAAAGTTTATTTGATGATATTAGAATATTTATATACGTCAAAAAAATAGCAATTACTGTTATTGTCGTTAAAATATTACTTATAGACTAAAAAGGCACACTGATAAAAAATTTAACTTGACTCAAGGGCCAAAATCTCGAATCAAGAATACTATTTTGAAGAGATGATTTTTTTGAATCAAGAGAATAAATTCTTAATTCATGAAATTAATCTTGATTTTAGTACATTTTTCTTGTCTCTAGAATTTATTCTCTTGACTCAAAAAAATCATTTTCTTCAAAATGGTATTCTCGGTACAGGGTTTTGGCTCTTGCGTGATAATAATTTTTTTTATAAGTGTTAACTTTACAAGATGAAAATAATTTTTTTTAAATTATTTTGAAATTTACAAAAGTTTTTATTATTAATGTTTAAATAATATTTAGTTAAGATAATGATATTACTTATAATTTTAAAAAGTTTATTTGATGATATTAGAATATTTATATACGTCAAAAAAATAGCAATTACTGTTATTGTCGTTAAAATATTACTTATAGACTAAAAAGGCACACTGATAAAAAATTTAACTTGACTCAAGGGCCAAAATCTCGAATCAAGAATACTATTTTGAAGAGATGATTTTTTTGAATCAAGAGAATAAATTCTTAATTCATGAAATTAATCTTGATTTTAGTACATTTTTCTTGTCTCTAGAATTTATTCTCTTGACTCAAAAAAATCATTTTCTTCAAAATGGTATTCTCGGTACAGGGTTTTGGCTCTTGCGTGATAATAATTTTTTTTATAAGTGTTAACTTTACAAGATGAAAATAATTTTTTTTAAATTATTTTGAAATTTACAAAAGTTTTTATTATTAATGTTTAAATAATATTTAGTTAAGATAATGATATTACTTATAATTTTAAAAAGTTTATTTGATGATATTAGAATATTTATATACGTCAAAAAAATAGCAATTACTGTTATTGTCGTTAAAATATTACTTATAGACTAAAAAGGCACACTGATAAAAAATTTAACTTGACTCAAGAGCCAAAATCTCGAATCAAGAATACCATTTTGAAGAGATGATTTTTTTGAATCAAGAGAATAAATTCTTAATTCATGAAATTAATCTTGATTTTAGTACATTTTTCTTGTCTCTAGAATTTATTCTCTTGACTCAAAAAAATCATTTTCTTCACAATGGTATTCTCGGTACAGGATTTTGGCTCTTGCGTGATAATAATTTTTTTTATAAGTGTTAACTTTACAAGATGAAAATAATTTTTTTAAAAATATTTTGAAATTCACAAAAGTTTTTATTATTAATGTTTAAATAATATTTAGTTAAGATAATGATATTACTTATAATTTTAAAAAGTTTATTTGATGATATTAGAATATTTATATACGTCAAAAAAATAGCAATTACTGTTATTGTCGTTAAAATATTACTTATAGACTAAAAAGGCACACTGATAAAAAATTTAACTTGACTCAAGAGCCAAAATCTCGAATCAAGAATACCATTTTGAAGAGATGATTTTTTTGAATCAAGAGAATAAATTCTTGATTCATGAAATTAGTCTTGATTCTAGTACATTTTTCTTGTCTCTAGAATTTATTCTCTTGACTCAAAAAAATCATTTTCTTCAAAATGGTATTCTCGGTACAGGATTTTGGCTCTTGCGTGATAATAATTTTTTTTATCAGTGTTAACTTTACAAGATGAAAATAATTTTTTTTAAATTATTTTGAAATTTACAAAAGTTTTTACTATTAATGTTTAAATAATATTTAGTTAAGATAATGACATTATTTGTGATTTTTAAATGTTCATTTAATGATATTAGGATATTTATGTACGTGTAAAACATAGTTTTCACTATTATTTTCATTATTCATATATTGTTCACATTATTTTGAACATTATTTTTCATTATTTTTCATTATTCATATATTGTTCACATTATTCACATTTATTTTCATTATTCATATGTATTGTTCACATCAAAACATGTTTTCTATTATTGTAACTTTTTTAATAGCATAAGATGAAGGAATAAAACATTATAATTATAAAATAAAAAATTCGTTTATTCAACATTTTTTAACACTACCCTTAGGCCATTGTGAAAACACCTGGAAAATACCGTAGGAATACCGTGTATACACCGTAGGAACACCGCGGGTACACTGCAAAGGTACCGTGGACACACTGCGTATAAGCCGTAGAGACCCAGTGGATACACTATGTGCACACCGATCAAGTACCATGGATACCCGGTAGATACACCGTGGATACACGGTACAGAAATACCACGAATACACTGTGTTGCCACTGTTGGTACACGATGTATTCACCGTGTATATGCGGTGCATTCACGATGTTTGCACGGTGGCACCACCGTGGTTTCAAGGCCGCGAGGGTAAGTGTTGACTTCCAACAGTTACGGTTAATTTATCCATCAAGTTGGCGGTAATTCTTCACTCAACAACAGTTGTAAGCAAATTGACGGAAATCTACAGCCGCAACTTGAATACAAGTTAACAATCACACTTGTAGTTAAATTCCCTTTCAACTTTACTACAATTTGACGGAAATACTTGTACAGCACCCGCATGGAGAAATATATATGTCAAAAATATATGTCGCATATATTTACGCAAAAAAAAAATATGTCAACATATATTTTTCACATAGATGCTGACATATATGCAGAGATACATGCTTACATATATGTAGACATATATGTAGACATATATGTAAGCATACACTGAAAAAAAAATTTCCAAGTTTGAGAATTTTTTTACTCAAATCAAGAAAGTTAAATTTTTCAAAATTATTTTCTTGATTCAAACTAAATTTTTTTCTGTGTATTTCTAGACACTTATAAGCGCACATATATGTGAACATATATCTACGCATATATGTGAATATATATGCGGATATATATTTAGCGCAAAAAAAATATATGTGAAAATATATATTTGCATATATTTTTCGCATATATATTTTTCCATGCGGGCAAGTTTTGACGTCTATTTGCAAATTAAGTTATAGGTAACTAATAGGTAATCGCTCGCTTTGCCAAGTCTTTCCGTCAAGTTTGCTTCAAATTGCGGACGTAGATTGACACACTGAGAAAAAAGTATTTTGCTACTAAGGATATTTATTTTGATAATCAGAATATTTGGTATTGTGCTACTAAGAATACGTGGTATTTTGATTATCAAAATAAGTATACTGATTATCACAATACCTAGGTATACTGATTATCAGTATACCAATAGAACAGACTATTGGATGTTTATAACCTCACTTTACTGGCACAAATCAATTGACTTATAAAGCTAACAAAACAAATTAAAATTAAAATTAAAAGTGTAATAATAAATTTTTTTCAAGCTAATATAATAAATATTAGTTGAAT